ATCAATTTAATCATTAAAGTTGCTTGTAAACTTATCTAAAACGCTTTTCTTTCGGTCCATCTCACCTGCAAGTGCAACATGGAATTGTTCAGTAACAAAAAAGTTTTTAGAAACTTCACTACTTAATATTTTTCCGTTCTTTTTATAATATTTTCCCAAGAATGCATTTATCGACAAAACTCTAACTATTTAAAGAAAAGTCTAAATGGATAAATACTATAAGACATCAATAATAAGTATACGTATGACTAAAATTTTCATAGATCAAAACGAAAATAAGGACATGGATCTAAAGATAATCTTCATAAATATAATTCTATATAGGTACCATTTAAAATTTAAAACTAGATCATGTGAATAGGAATAAGAATATATCGCAATCATTCCAATAATATTCCAATAATACGTATAATGATGCATACAAGCACTACATCACAAACCAAAAATAAAGATGAACAAGCAACACTGTCAAATGACGATGCCTATAATTGAGACATGAGTGAGAGAATGTGGTAAATACCTTTACAAAAGCATCATATTCACGTTGGCAAGAACAAAATGAGGGAAAGAAGCAAGCCCAGCTTCTCACTCCAACCCACCAACCTGTCCAAATTGAATATCACGAGAGGAGAAAAGCTTAGTGGGAATCTGATTTGGAACTCACTCGCTATAGCCTAGGTAAGCTATAAAACAGAGACAGAGAGAAAGTCAGTGAGTGCAGAGTGACAAATGTCTGTGTGAGTGAGTGAGTTTGCATTATGTTCTCATATTCACATTCCCTTCTCTCTCTCCGTGTGTGTATCTAAAATTCTGCATGTTGGCTCTGAAATTTGATATGGGTTTGGCAAAGATTGGTGGAGGAGAAGGGTAATTATTTTGGGGGATTTGGTATCTGATTCGGTCATTTGCTGTGTTGGGTTTTTTGTGTCTATAAATGGATACCTTAGAGAGTGGCTCATAAATCACCCAGAAACCTCTGCTCTGATCTCCATCTGTAGTTGGAACTTTTTCAGCATTGTTTTTCCTATCTGTGAAGGCCAAGCTTCAGCTCTCCATTTTTGTCTATCTCCAAGGTAAATACCTCAAACTGTGCTTGTTTCCTCTCTCTATTTGCTTGTCTTATTTGGAGCTAACACTGAGGTCAGCTCTCTTTCTCTCTCTGTCTACAAATATGAAACAGAGTTAACCTTTAAATGAGAGTAAAAAATAGTTAAGGTTTCTCTGTTCACAATTTCAAAGTAGCTTTGGTATCATATAAGATTCTTGTTAAATGCATCATAAACGTCATGGACGAGTACTTACAAACATTAGTGCTTGCAAATATTGAATATAAATGTGAGATATCACATTGGTTAGAGAGGAGAACGGAACATTCTTTATAAGGGTGTGAAAACCTCCCTAGTAACGCGTTTTAAAAATCTTGAGAAGTCCAAAAAGGACAACATCTACGAGTAGTAGGATTGGGCTATTACAAATAGTATCAGAGCCAGACACTGGGTGGTGTGCCAGTGAGACCGCTATGCTCCGAAAGGGGGTGGACATCGGACATTGTGCCAGTAAGGACGTTGGGCCCCAAAGGGGGCGGACACTGGGAAGTGTGCCAGCGAGAATGCTGGATCTGAAAGAGAGGGATTGTAAGATCCCACATCGATTGGAGAGAGGAACGAGTACCAGCGATGACGCTGAGCCTCGAAGGGAGGTGGAATGTGAGCTCCTACAGAGAGGAGAAGCCTGAAAGGGTCAAATAGTATTCTATCATCCTCATAGGCGACAAATCCACCTCCCGATTTTGTATTTCTATACATGAAAATGATTTTTGTAAGAAAGAAGTCATAAGATTGCTCAAGGTAACAATTTTTAAAAATGGATAACCCTTTGAAAGGAAGCTGAATCCTACATATATTATCAAACTCAACATACAATCAGCTTCTATATCCTTTATAACATGCATGAAGAAATCAAGCCACCACTCGGCAGCAGGTTCATGGCTCAATAGAATCTTTCCAATTGAAAAGGAGAGAGATGAGTAGATCGTGAAATCAAGGGACAGATTCTAGAATCTGGAATCTTGTTCTATCAGGAAAATATGATAATAAACCTACCTAACTATAGCTTTTGGATTCCACCAAGAGAAAGGCTTCCGTTTAAGATTTTGGACTGAATCTATTCATACAAATGACAATCCTTTGGTTACAAATACATCAATATCCTTAATTAGTATGCTCTGGCTTGGGATTTTTAACTAATTACATAGGCCCTTAGGATCTTCAAAGTTTAAAGCTCCTCACTAAATAGTTCTAAGGTTTGATTTGGTCGAACTTTATTTATTTATTTTTAAAATTGTTACAGTAAAGATCTCATTCCACCGAGTAGTTTGTGATGCATATCCAGAGAACTGACTTTAATTTCTACATAGCAGCTACAGATTACTCTTAAAGAATCCTGGGATACGAACCATGAACGCACTAGCGGCTACAAACAGAAACTTCAAGCTTGCTGCTAGGCTTCTGGGTCTTGACTCAAAGCTTGAAAAGAGCTTGCTCATTCCATTTAGAGAAATCAAGGTTCGGTTCCTCCTGTGGCAGTTTGTTTTAATTGACTAGATAGTATCAGAAACAGACATAATAATTCAACAGCTCAAAATGATGCATCTTTCGAATACACATTTGTAACTTGAATCAGCCTTCTGAACATGACAGGTTGAGTGTACCATACCCAAGGATGATGGCACATTAGCATCCTTTGTTGGTTTTAGGGTGCAGCATGACAATGCAAGAGGCCCCATGAAGGGAGGGATCAGATATCACCCTGAGGTTGGCTGTTTTTCTTCTTACCTAGAGTCCCTTTTCATAATAATTGAAATATCAATGCCCCTCCCTTGTATTCTTACCAAGAGTCCCTTTTTAACTTGAAGTTTGAACTTGAGACCTTGGATGATCCGGGAATCATATTGAAGTCATATTTCTGAAAGCAATAGATATACCAATGCAGGTTGACCCTGATGAGGTAAATGCTTTAGCACAATTGATGACATGGAAGACAGCAGTTGCAAATATACCCTATGGTGGAGCCAAGGGAGGGATAGGGTGTGATCCCGGGGAGTTAAGCATATCAGAGCTGGAGCGTCTGACCAGAGTTTTCACTCAAAAGATACATGATCTTGTTGGTGTCCACACCGATGTTCCAGCCCCTGATATGGGAACAGGTCCACAGGTTGCCTACAAATTATAACAATCAACTTCGTTTCAAGTATTTGGATTGTTCCTCTTAAAGTATAAGCTTTTCTCCCTCCTAATTTGAGTGTTTTGATTTGAACAGACAATGGCATGGATACTGGACGAGTATTCTAAGTTTCATGGCTACTCACCAGCCGTAGTAACGGGGAAACCCATTGTAAGTGACTTATAAGGCTCAACTACATACATTACTATTAAAAAAAAACAACTTATCAAAATTGACTTCTGCCAAACTAGGATCTGGGTGGATCTCTGGGCAGAGATGCAGCAACAGGGCGAGGCGTGTTGTATGCAACAGAAGCCTTGCTAAATGAGTATGGAAAGAGCATATCCGGTCAAAGATTTGTCATTCAGGCACGCTTTTATCTTGTTTCTGTTACAATTGCTCGTTCAAAAGCTTACATCTATTTATATTATATTCTATTCTAAGTGGAAATATGGACGGATATGTCAGGGTTTTGGCAATGTGGGATCTTGGGCAGCCAGACTGATCAGTGAAAATGGGGGTAAGATTGTAGCAATAAGTGATGTAACAGGAGCAATAAAGAATAGCAATGGGATAGATATTCCAAGCTTACTAAACCATGCAAAGGAACACAAAGGTGTGAAGGGTTTTGAAGGGGGGAATCCAATTGATCCCAAATCTATTTTGGTTGAAGACTGTGACATACTAATACCAGCAGCCCTTGGAGGCGTCATCAATAAGGAAAATGCTAATGAAATCAAAGCCAAATTCATAATCGAAGCAGCCAATCACCCAACAGACCCAGAGGGCGACGAGGTGAGCATATAAATGAACATCAGATCAAATGAAGATGTCAGAAAAAACTAGATATTCATAATATTTTGTCATCTGTAGATATTGGCAAAAAAAGGAGTTGTTATTCTCCCAGATATCTTTGCAAATTCAGGAGGAGTTACAGTTAGCTACTTCGAATGGGTTCAGGTATCCCATTTTTCTTTACTCCAAAAATTAGACAACAAATGCATATATGATATATAACTCAATTGAAACAAACAATACAAATGCAGAACATCCAAGGTTTCATGTGGGAGGAAGAGAAGGTAAACAAGGAGCTGAAGACTTACATGACGAATGGCTTCAAAGATGTGAAGGAGATGTGCAAATCCCATAACTGTGACCTCCGCATGGGCGCTTTTACACTTGGAGTCAACCGTGTCGCCAGAGCCACTGTGCTGAGGGGTTGGGAAGCCTGAGCTGCTGCTTTTCGCATCTCTAAATAAAGGATAGATGCTCCACCCGCCACCCCAGTGGTGCTTCCTTTCCTGTTGAATTCTGCAGTACAACACTTTTTTTCAATAGTATTTGTTATTTTTATTGCACTAGCATGCAAGAAATATCACCTATGCCCTAAAAAATCACAAATAGATGGCATGGTTCGGTATCCAAAGGAGATTTATGAGTTGCTTTTGGATAAGTGGAGGGATCCTGTCCACTTGCTTACAAACAGATTTTTCTTACTCATGAATTCTTGCCCTTCTTCTGTAATAAAGGTCAGTCTTAACGTGTATGGATACCAAACTTCCATGACAGTGAAAAAGAAATGAGAACAGTTTTAGAAAGTACCATAGCATATGGACAACAGCTATCTTCATTATTCTGTTAAGAACACATAACAGTCAGAATATCAGCAGCAAGAGAGATATGAGTATCGAAATTTCATCGGTTTTGAGCAATGAGTATCGAAATCCATATATAACAGATCGAAAATTTTCTGTTGCAATTTTTATCAAGAAATTAAATAGGAGCAGAGTTAAATTAAACTGTGGATTCAATTTCGAGATGTTCAATTCCAAACAAAATACAGTAAAAAAAAAGACTAGCTAAGGCTTATCAAAACGACATTACAAATGGAAATTGATAAAAACTATGATAGTACATAATGCTAATCTAGAATCTTCCTCTACCCCTAAAGCCCCCACCACGGCCACCACCTCTTGGAGGGCCGCCTCTGCCACCTCTTGGGCCACCCCTTCCACGAAAGCCACCACCCCCACGGCCTCCTCTGCCACCACCTCTGCCCCCACCACGGCCACCACCTCTAGCGGCAAACTGTCCCCTGAAACAAAGATCAGACATCAAAATTAGTTTCATACAAAAAGCAAACATAAACGTTGGGAAGCATGGCATAGAAGTTCTTGTTTTGAATTTAAAAATAATTTCTATAACCTTCTCTATCAGTGTGAAAAAAATTCATATGAATCATGATCAACTACAAGTATTTGGAAACTAAATAGAGAAAAGGAGCCATGACGATAGCCATTCATAGAACAAGAGGTAAATTTGCAGAAAACTAAATTGTTGGTGTCAAATAGACAATGGGTACACTGAGGACTATGAGCTTACTTAAGGAACAAGAACTAGAAGCACAAAAGGTTTGAAATTTTCATCATAGTGACACCAGACTTAGCTATATGGTTTGTGAAATACACAATAAACAAATTGGCAATTAAGATAGACAGTATTTAGGATAACATCCATATTTTCAGTTTCCCGTGATCTTATTACATTTATCACCACAGACATGCTATCAAACATATAACCCAAAATTCTATCCAAACATTACTCCTGAACCTAACAAGCTAATACGTAGAAAAGAAGAACAAAAAAAACTAGTAAAAAGTTAAGCTGTGGGAGGAGTGCGTACTTCGGTTGTGGGAGGAATCTCGCGAGAGGTAAAAGTTTAGCTGGATCGATATAAAATTTATCCCCAGAAGCATATGAGGTGGCCACAATTCCTTCCATCATCTTGATCGAGAAGTACTGCAATCAGGTTAAAAAAACAAGGATTTATCGTATATCAAAACTATTTTCAAAACTAAACAACTAACAAAATCAAGAAGGCCAGTGGACTCACGGATTCATTGATGGGGCCGAAAATTTCATCGACTTTGCCTATCTGGGTCTTATTTTGAAGATAGATTGGGGCATTAAAAAAAGGAATCTTCTCATTTGTAAGCTTTGTCACTGCATCTCCCTCGCATGCGTGAAGAAAAGTTGAAACCTCTGTAACAGAAAAAAAAAAATATATATCTTAATACTGATGAATACAGGAAACAAAAAGGAGGAAATAAACCAAAAACTTTCTGGAGAAAAATAGGCATCCAAGCTTGTGTATATTCATTGCTAGAAAGGAAGGGAGAGTTCAAAAACAGAATTCGTCGTTTATACCGATAATGCAAGCAAAAATATCCACGACATCTGAATATCGCATTGTAACGAAAAAAGTGGGGAAACAAACTATTTTATGAAACCTCTTCTGTAAACATCCAGAGAGCGAAGAAGCACAAAGATGAATGAAAACAGAGAGCCATGAAAGATTTGAGAAGTGATGGGAGATACGAACCAACTACTTCAGATGGAGGACCCTCATCACGGAACCCTCCACCGCCGCGACCACCAAAGCGACCACCTCCCCTGAAGCCACCGCCGCCTCGACCACCTCCTCTACCACCAAAACCACCGTCACGGCCTCCCCTGAAGCCCCCGCCGCCTCTTGGAGGTCGCATTCTTCTGCTCTTGCTGTGCTAAAACGAGGGAGCTTTTACTGAACGGAGGCTCGCTGCAATATGTCGTGTAGGGTTTTTAGGGTTTTATGTGTGTGGTTTCGCGCTGAAGTACAGTGACACAATGCCCATTAAATCTTTTCTCTTAGTTTTTTCTATGGTTATATTTTATTAATGAGTTGCGACTCTACTCGAGTATTGAAAACTGTTTTGATTTTATTAATAATTAAAATAAATCAATAAATACGAGAATAAGAATTCTACCTTCGTAGAAATCTTGCCTTGCAAGACTTCAAAATATTTACCAGCTCTTCTTTGCTATGACTCGAACAGAAAGTTAAGGTGAAGATAGGGAGTTTCAAGATAATTCTGTAGAGATAGTTTCTATCGCCAAGAGAAAAGTAAAAGAGATTTGTGCCGTTCAAGTCAGTTCAAGCCAGAGGTACTATTTATAAGGACTCTTAGATAATTTTTGCTAAATAATATATTTGAATAATATGATATATTAGAATATAATATTTTAACGGAATCATATTTAAATATGATAAGATATCTTAATATATATTTAACAAATTTGAATTTCATTCCAATTTTAAATATATATTTTATTTAATATTTCAATATTTAAAATTGAATGTATCAAATATAATAAATATAATTTTTCTTTTCAATATTTTTTCTTTTAAAATGGCTCAAATTAAAGCTAAAATATTAAATATTTATTTAAACATTTTAAATTAAATATACTTTTTCGAGTTTAATATATCTAATATATTAAATAATAATGAATATTTCAAATTAAATCTATTTTATATTTTATATTTAATATATCTAATATATTAAATATTAATTTGAACTCTTAAAAATTTAGTGTTACATGAACTTATGGACTTCGAGTTTGATGCAAAATTAATTATTTAATTAATCAATTTTCATTTATTAATTATAAATCATTTTATTGTAAATTTAGAATTGCACTCTTATACTGTTATGTTCATTGATATAATTATTATAAACAAGTCGATCATTTACTCGTTCATAATTACAACTTGGTTAAAAGTCTATTTCACCCCTGTAATTGCATCTTTCACAATAAGTACCCATGACTTTCTAATGAACAATTTGTTTATGATCCAATAATAAATCAAGTCCCTTAAGCTAAGGAGAGGGTGGGATCCCATTGTTTAAGTCCATAAATCAGCCCTTAAGAAATAACTCATGAGCATGCTCCCAACTCCATGTTTGGTCAAGTCCTCAAGATGGTAGACATATTAAATCGTCTACAAAAGTCATTTTCACCCATGCAAATTAAAGAATAAAAGCCCTCACAGCATGAGTCCATAACTCACTCGCGATTAAGATCGAGTCGCATATGATCATTATGTAAAATATTAATTTTCTCAATTAACCGATTTATAAGGAAAAATTAAATATTTATTGGTCTAGTTTTATACAAACTCATTGGATAGGATACCTAACTCACATATCTCCACATGAACGATTCTGATCAAATCATTTGTAACAATTATAAAGTAGGCCGTATTAACAATGTTACCAAGATAAAATTCTCAACCTTATTCATATGTTATAGATCATTTAGGCACTCCCCTTTTCACGGCCTTCATGCGCCATTGCTTTTACTTGAAAACGTTTTAAAAAGACATGAATATTGAAATAGAAACTCTTTCATTAGGGTTAGATATGCATATGGGAAACTAATGGACGTACAATTCATTTGAAATTGGGCAACTCCCATGTACATACGGATGTCGTGTTGTCACGAGGCCCTCTTACAAAAGAGTAGTAAAACTCTTGATGTTTGTTTCTGCTAAAGAGGTTATGTCATACATATGGTAGCGGCTCTACTTCCCTTTGGAAATTAGGGTCGTTACAAATGGTATTAATGCCAAATACCGAGCGGTATGGCAGCTAGGACACTGGGCTCCTAAGGGGGGGATGGACTGTGAGATCCCACGTCGGTTGGAGAGGGGAACAAAACATTTCTTATAAGGGTGTGGAAACTTCTTCCTAGTAGATACATTTTAGAACAGTGAAGCTGACAACGATACGTAACAGGTCAAAGCGAACAATATCTACTAGAAGTGGGCTTGAGCTGTTACACCTGCGCAGATAGACAGATAATTGCCTCGACCACACCACACAACCCAAATTAGTTTTCATGCACAAATTGAGTAAATTACTACCATTTTCATTCACAGAGCTAGGTAATTGTCTTATGTTCTATATAATGCCATGCATACAGCAAGGATTGTCTTACGTTCACACACGTATAAAATGTTCCATAATATTTAAAATTACCATTCACGAGTAAGTATAGTATCACAACAAATCACAAATCATATCACATAAATCAATCCATTTATACATATCTAATAGTCAGAAAAGCATTTGAAGCATGGTCATCCAGCACGAAAATGTCTAAGGGTAAATGAGCATAAGAAATCAAAATCAAAGCATCATATAAGGCAATCGGTCTAAAATCATTAATTGTTGATAGAGTTGCTCGTTGACCGAGTCATGCACTATACAAACTGGCTATCGGATCGACTTCGTGGTTCTACCGGGCAAGTTGGGTTGGGCAGCGATATGTGGACCTAGGGTGAAGGACTAGCAAGTGTGCTTGGAACATTGGTGTGGGATGGGTTGATGTCCACCCGACTTGATGACTGTGTCTTCTTCGACAATTGATTCCCAACACTCTACGGTATCAGATTAAAAGTATCGTTCTTGAAACGTTAGAGATTAAAGAGACATCAAATTTCAAAAATTGATAATAAAGTTCACGAGATAAACTAAAACATATAAACATTTAAAAATGGCTAATCCCCTTTGTCGCTTCGGACAAAGCTGCGAGTTCATATGAGCAAAATATTGGATAGAAGAAAGAGAAGCCCATTTTTTGAATGGAAGTTTTGAAGCCTTCCTACCATTACAAGTTAAACTAATGTAACGCAGCATTGCATTTTCAAATCCCAAAGATTTCTCCTCATGGCCTTCCCATTTCCCTTTCCCCTCTCCCAAATCCCATAAAAACTCTCACCTTCCTACCTTCTGCTGCTGGGGCACATACCCAAAATATACATACAAATTACACTGTCCATGAATCATAATAATTAGCAAACCATTCGCCCGTGACATATCGACGCAATATAGAGATTCTTCGACCACTTATCCTGCAAAACAACGTACAGCACAAACCGACCAACCATCACTACTAACTCAACAAAGTTCAGCAGATAACACAAAATTGCTTTGAATGAATCATGTATGAATGAGGTAAGCCATTTTGTGTTCGGGTTTTTATCGACGTGCAAGAGTATGTTCATATGATCAATAAAAGTTCAATGCACAAAACTGAAGGTTTGAGAATAACAAAGACAGGAAAAGGCTAGTCAGTCAGCTTCCTAATCCTGCTACACACAATATAAGTGTTAGATTTTCACCTATGTCTTTTCCTAATCATGGGCCACGAAGTCAAAGTCAATTTTGTGCTCGTCAAAAAAATTTTGAGAGATCACTCACGGTGCATCAGTAATCACTTCATCCACCCATTTGCAGTGACGAAGAAACTCATATCATTCACCTTCAGCATAGACTCGAACTAGGCAGTCCCCATAGGCTGATCATATTTCAAATAGTTTTGAGACCCGTTGACAGTGGTGGTGGAATCACCGAGCTTCACCTCTGCCATTCAAATTACCCTACGACCTCCTTTTCTCTTTTACTTTTATTCTTCGCTTCAGGTTATATTTTCGATGATGTTATGCATGAATATTTCGTGTCAGGTAAGCATTTTCCATTTTCATATGATCAATAATAGTTCGACACACGAAACTCAAGGTTCGAAAATATCAAAGGTAGGATAAGCCTAGTCAATTTCCTAGTCCTGCTATTATAAAACGTCTAGCTGTTAGATAAATTAAATTATCCGTACCTTCACATGCGTGCTGGGAAATGCAGACGTACGGAGAGTTTCTTGAGTTTCATCCATCAATTTGCGTTTCGGTATGCTTAATATGAATGCAGCCTGATCTGCAGTTGCTGCCATGCATGTTATCCTGTAACCACTTTCCCATCTGCGGTGAATACCTTCACTTGGGTACAAAAAATCAAGCTCCACGACCTTGAGTGTCGGTTTCATACAGAACAAGAACGAAAGAAAAATTTTCAGAAGACAAAAACAGATGAATGTATACAAAAGCTAAACTAACAAAAACCAACAGTTCACAAATTAGTGGGAGCTGATACCTGATCAGAAAAGCCAGCATTCCTAGACATAACCACGCCCCAGCGACTTCCAGCAGTAGTCATGGAGGTGACATGGAATCCTTCTTTCCATTTCTTATTTATCCACTTGAAAGGAAAAGATTCACCAACTTTGTAGGATTGCTGAGTATAAGGTGTTCCTGCAAGATTATGCTCAATAAGAAAACAAGATTATACACGTCTATTATTGGATCGTAAAATGAACAATCAAGAACCAAGCAATAAAATCAAATTTAAGTTCAAATCATGAACAATCTGATGATATAGCGATATTATCTTTAATTAGAAAAGAAGACTAGCACCACTTGAAGAAAAACCCAAAAGAACTTGAACAACATGGAGAAATCAATGAGATCCCACATTGGTTGGAGAGGGGAACGAAACATTTCTTATAAGGGTGTGAAAACCTCTCTAACAAACACGTTTTAAAACCTTGAGGGGAAGTCCAAAAGGGAAAGCTCAAAGAGGACAATATCTATTAGCGGTGGGCTTGGGCTATTACAAATGGTATGAGAGTCAGACACCAGAAAGAGTGTTAGCGAGGACATTGGGCTCCCGAGGGAGGAGGATTGTGAGATCCAACATTGGTTGGAGAGGGGAATGAAACATTCCTTACAAGGGTATGGAAACATCTCCTTTTAAAATAAACCTTAAGAGGAAGCCCAGAAGGAAAAGCTCAAAGAGGACAATATCTGCTAGCGATGGACTTGCGCTATTACAAATGGTATGAAAGTCAGACACCAGGCTGAGTGCTAGCCAGGACGCTGGTCTCCTGAGGGGGGTGGATTGTGAGATCCCACATTGGTTGAAGAAGGGAACAAAACATTCCTTATAAAGATGTGGAAACCTCTCCCTAACAAACACGTTGTAAAACCTTGAGGGTAAGCCCAAAAAGGAAAGCCCAAAGAGGACAATATCTACTAACAGTGGGCTTGGGCTGTTACAAATGGTATGAGAGTCAGACACCGGGCAGAGTGCCAGTAGGGACGCTGGGCTCTCAAGGGGGTGGATTATGAGATCCCACATTAGTTGGAAAGGGGAATGAAACATTCCTTACAAGGATGTGAAAACCTCTCCCTAATAGACGCGTTTTAAACTCGAGAGGAAGTCCAGAAGGAAAAGCCCAAAGAGGACCATATCAGCTAAATCTGTGGAATGGGGAACTATTGCTTAGAATTAGAAGCCAGCACAATGAAAAGAAAAGCAAGGAGAGCTGAAGTATTTTCTCTAGAATTGGTAACTCCCATCATGCTCAGCATGAGGATGGTAAGAGCGTGGCTGCTAGATAAAGTAGGCAAGTTTTCCACTAGAGTCCCTTCTCGATAAACCTAGAAGAGGAGAAGCAGTCGAAAAGCCCATATTTCTTTTATTTTTGGTAAGGACTCAAGCTTTCTTGGAGATAAATGAAAGAATGTACAAGAACATACAAAAGTAAGCCCACAAAAGAATTCCTCAACTAATTACGAGAATAAATTTCAATTCAAAAGCCTACAACCCAATTAAAAAATTGTCATAAAAGATATAAAGTATTCTTGTGGGCAGTCAGTCATCCTCCAAAGTATGGTTCGAATCCAGAATCAAATGAAAAATGAACATGTAAACTGATTACGCAGCGATTCCATGTATCACTACATCAAAACTAAAATGCTAAAACTTGAGAGAGCCAAGCCACTGACCTTTTGACATAACAACCAGGGAACTACCATTAGCTGCTCCAGCGATCGAACTTATATAAAAATTCTTTTCCCATTGCTCCATAATCCAATCCTGACAAGAATCCGATTTGATGAAGATGATTTAACACAGAAAAATTACATGGAAACACTATAAGATACTAATAGTTATCGAAAAATAAATAAATAAAGCTCTGTGATGTAAAGTAACCTTGTGAAGGAACACAGATGACAACTTGTAAACCTGGGAAGAGAAACCTGTTCCAGCATCCATGATTAGGGCCCAGAGATTTGTTGCAGAGGCCACAGAGCTTATAAGCAATCCATTTTCGTTGCCCTTTTCTATGTGTTGGTGCATCCTCGAGTCGGCCACATTGTAGTGGTACCTACAAGTCCAACAACTTCCTAAGTATAATGAATAAACACATTGTATCTTTTCTCTATTGTTCTCTTGAAGAACAAATTAAGCACAGCTTGGCTGTTCAAAAGTCAAAACACTATAACACTGAGATAAATTCCTAAAAGATTTAGCAGATATGAAAGAGAGTGATAATTAAGCTATAAAATAACAGCTCAAGGCCATGAATCATTGAATATAACCGGTGGGCAGTGAATAAGGAAATGGAATGCACCTTTGCTTCATGGGCCTACGTGCATTATAAACTGAAACCCATTGTGTAGCGGGACTACCTAACCTCACTTTCTTCTTCGGCTGCTCGTCTTCTTCCAAATTTATAAGCAGCCGACCACGCTTTTGCCCGACCTAGTTATAGCAAAAAGAACCCATATAAAATGAGGAAGTCACTTTGCTACAAATTAAATTCAAACTTTAGTAGAAACCAAAACATAAATGTGCAAACATTGGTGAAAAGAAATAGAAAAATGAAGATCGGGTGGGAAGAAAATAGAAAAAATAGGTCACCTTTAATGCTCCATCAATTTGTATTGGCCTCAGTGGTATACATGGATCAATCAGGCCTTCAAAAAAGGATATTAGTTTTGAATAATTTGGCTCCTCATCAAACTTCATATTTATTACAGCGTCAAGAAATTGCTTGAATGGTGCTGGGCAAAAGCAGCACATCAACTCTGGAGAAGTGGCCATCTTTTTCTTACAGACAAGAAAACTCTTGTTATCACCCTGCATTCATTGTTCCAAAAATTTGTTAGTCACTGAACTAAAAGAAGATTAAAATATTTAAAACGAGCGTGTTATAATATTATACTCTAGTACAGTAAGAAAGCTGATCAACCTGATATCCTTGCCAAGGTAATCTTCCTTTTATAAGGAATATCAATGTGTAAGCCAATGATTCAAGATCATCTCTCCGACTTCCGGTTCTACCTAAATGAGCATGAACACTTGCATACCTTATTGTCCCCCTGGTGGAAAAGAGGTATATTTAAAAAATGAACATATCAATATTTTAAGAAATTATATATGAAAGTGAAAAGACCCACAAACCTGAAAATGTCGGGCCTTTGGTCATATTCAACGTGTTGACCACTAGCTACATCTTTCCATTTAGAAGCTGAACCAAATATGATCACAGAACAAATAATAAAATAGATTCAATAATCAAGTAGTGAACTCTTAGGTCGACGACAAGAGACTCCAACTGGGAAAATAGGTTGATGCTATGGTATTGACGAGAGCATACCTAAACCAAGATCGATAAGATACAGTTTCTTCTCATCTGCTGTCCCTGCTTGACCAAGTAAAAAGTTCTCTGGCTTCACATCTCCATGCACGAACCTTTATTTACAAGAAGATGGATAGAAGTTTTGTAAGATAGAAATAGGAGTTTAAACAAGAACAAGCGTTCGGGGCTTCGTTGGGATTAAATTGCATTTGTGGCTTTCCTTTGGAGCTCTTAGTCCAAAGAATTCTATAATTTACTCAACCTACATGACTACATCCAAATGATCTGTTTTTCAATCAAGCTATGCTTGGGTTGACATTTTTCTATAATCTCTTGGAAGCCTTTTTTTTCTTCCAGTTTTTTCTTATTTGAATATTTCAGTCTATTATCAAAAACAATTTTTTCAATGTATTGAAGAAAATGTTGGAAGTAAAGACATGGAGTTAAGGGGACCTACCCCTTCAAATGAAGTTTCTCAAGAATTGAAATTGCCTCCACTGCAATGCAAGCTACCATACTTGGAGACATCCTATTGAAAATGCCAAGAATTAAGAAGGTTGAACAATAGGCCAAATCTGCATGAACACGTGACACGAGAATGTGTTGAAGGCAAAAATGTTATTCAACTTACGATTGGCCAAGAGTATTCCAGACATCCCATAAGCTCGGTCCTAGCATGTCCATGACCTTGTGTCCAGTTAACATATGTCAGACATAAATAAATTCGAAAACTGAACAGTTGAGTGTTCTAGTTACAAGCCTCACCAGAATGTAGAAATCGCCTTGGCGACCCTTGTAGTGAACCCAAGGAATTCCATAGCATCCATTTAGAGTACTTTAGAAGACAAGACACGAGGAAGCCCATGGACGTTCAGATAACGTAGTAAGTATTGTTAGCATAATTCTTACGCTATGAAAAAACTTATCCAATAACTTCTCCTTACCTATACACTTGCCATTCATAAGGGGGGCCATAGCTGCAACCTTTACTGTTGTGATGCTCAAATTTCAGAGCAACCTGTAATTACATTCTATTAAGGAAATGTGCTTTCACACGATCTATTCGTCAAATTCTTTGCAATAAGGAGTAATGTAGCAAGTGATACCTCGATTGCATCAGGACCTGTCTGATCAGTTCCACCGCTGACTCTTCTACCAACAAAGACTTGGCCGAAACCACCCTTGCCAAGTTTCTTTTCTACCTTATATACAGGAGAATTGCCCACTTGTACCTGCAGACGTTATGCACAACATAGTAGTCAAATACTTGTATAGCCGAACCATATTCAGATTTTGTTTTGATCAAAGAAAGCCAAAAAAAATGAGAACCATGGTGATGGAAGCTTTAGACTTGGTAGAACTTTGAATTTGATAGAATAATAAGCAAGAAAGAGGTCAAAATTGTTAATGTAACTGACAGCAGCCTCGACGTCAATGTAAATGAATGTTCTTAGAAAGATATACGACAACAAATGCACGGGGTCATAAGGAGACAAGGGATAATACCCTATCAGGAACAGAGGATGTGTCTGCTTCCTCTTCTACTCCCATTACTTTATCTGCACTTCCACCCTCTTTGGCCATATCTTTGTTTGCAACAGCCTCAACTCGATTGAAAACAGGCTCCGCTGCACCAAGGGCACCAGCTTCAGGAAGAACCTCACAATGCTCAGGATCTAAGTCTATCAATCTGATTCCACGTCCTCTCCGGGTAGCCGTTGGTCTAGCAGGAATCACCACAGAGGGACCTTTGGCTACAGCCGGAGCATTACCACCTCTTCCTCTTCCACCACCAACCCTTCTTCTGGTTCTATTAGGGGCAGGCACTGCCAAATTTTCTCCTTGATCAAGTGGTTGTGTACAAGGCTGAAGATCATCAAGCCGTCTCAATCTCCTGGCTCCACTTCGCAACTCAGGCATTGTCACCCCATACACATCACATCCTGCTTTAAGTAACCGAAAAATCAAAGTTATATCCCAAAAGTTTCAAATCCAATAATATTGAAAAACATTAACAACACAGAGCTAGACATAAAAACAAACATGTTGCACACAAAACTCCATAACCATCGAAGATGTTCAGATTTTGTGACCGATGACATAAATTTCAGAAAAAAAAATGTCTAACAAAACAAGAACAAAGAGGAAGAAACTCTCTTCTTTGACGATAAACACGTATGTAAATACCAAGCAAAGAAGAAAAAACCACATAATGAACAGAAAAAACACCAGAAACTGGAGAAAAATACATTGGAGAGCAAATAAAGTAACAAAGTTCTGTTCATTTAGATACCAAGGAGTAAAAACAAAATGTACCCAGAAAAGATTGCTTGATTCCCTTGCAAAATCAACACACAGGTCCTTACGATTTCCTCACCCTTAATAAGAACATAAATCATAAACTACGTATGACAAGAAAAAAACAATAACCCAAATCATACCAAAAATCGGAACAAGAGTGAAAAATTCAAAGAAAAAAGTTCAATCGTCATAAATGAAAACCGAACGCACAAGAAATCATCGAAACCAAACTTCGATCATCGACAGGCAAACACAAAAAACCAAAAGCAGTAATGATCCGATTACGATGGAAGTAACAAAAACGGACAAATAGGTCGAAAAAAAACCTAAAAAATCAGAGAAAAAACTTACAGATAGATCAGGCAACAGCGAAACTAATGATCGATGATGAACAAAACTGGATCTGATGAACGATTAAGACAAAAAAAAAAAAAAAAGGATGACGGAGGGTTTGATGTTGAGTTGGTGAAAGGAAGGAGTCCGGCAGGAACACAAAACTTACTTTTTGATTGTCGCTGTGTATTTTAGAGTTGTGGGGTTGGAATCAAAGATAAGCTCTGGACATGGAAAACGCTGTAAGAAATCTATCTCGCTTGCCTAATCTTTGTTATTTTTTTTGTTAATATTTATCAGTTGATGATTGAGATTTTCAAGATTTTGTTCTTCTTCTGTTCTTTCTTGTTCTAATTTGTTCAAATCGTAAAATTTTTTGGAGAAAAAATGAATTTTAGAGATGAAAAAAAAAATGTGAGATTGTGAATGAAGATGATGATGCTATCTTTTATATGTGATTTCTTTTGTTTTGCCGTTTCCATCCTCTCTCTCTCTCTCTTCTTTCTCTCTCTTCAATTGTAATTTTTCATTTTTTTTAAAGCCTAGTCCTTCAACTTTTGTGTATTTTCACTTTGAAGTCCTTCAACTTTTATGTATTTTCACTTTGCAGTCCTTTAGCTTTTGCCCCCCCACTTTTCCTATTTTGGTTCTTTTTAACATTGTAGTTTTAGTTTTCTTACCCTTGTAAATTTGAACGCTCTTTGAGACCTGACGATTCCACAATGTACCCTTTCGTTCGTTTTTTTTCAGTGTGTAAATAAGGTCTCTTAGAATGTATGGTCATTTTGGACGGGTTGCAATAAGTCGTTGGTCGAATGTTTGGACCAATCTCAATTCATCGTCATCTTGTCCGCTTCTAATTGATGACGGGCTATTAAATAAGTGTTGACCCAAGTCCCTGTGTTGGGGCTCGGTGTCATAATTGCACTTTGATGGTAACGGACTTGCGATTGTGCGGCACTCACTTCCTAGCAACAAGTGAGTTAAGCCTATTTGTTCTTGTGTCGCCTACGGTCAAGCTACGTATGCTCGAGCCTCTGACCCCGGTTCAAAAAGAAAGTTTTAGAAAACAAGGACAGGGAGATTTCGAAAAAGAGTTTTGAAAGCAAGATTTGAGAAATTGAAAAGGGTGTTATATGGAAATGTAAGCAAAAGGCAACGCACAACGATTTACTACTTATAACTATTACATAGAAAGAAGTTGACAACTAATCATATGCTACTATAGTACATTTTGGGGCATTTTAATCTTTACAGGTGTAGACACGATTTTGGTGAATAGTCATACGCCCCCATATTAACCCAATATGGAATGGTAAAGACCTATCTAGGATGAAAGCATGTAAAAGGGGTTTGGAACGAGTATGCAACCATGGACAACACGTCATAGACAAGCAAGACCGGGATATCTGTCATGTAGCCATTGACAACACGCCTTGGACATGCATGACCATGACACTTGATTCTCAAACTGTATATAAGTTGCCTCGTATGGTTAGTCAAGCTTCAATCACTAGGTCATTTCCGTTTTATTTTGTCCTCAGCAATGCCTAAAAACTCTCATGCCTTTCTTAGTTGGACCAACCCAACCGTCGATTTCCGACAAGTCTTTCTTACGGTTATGCCAAATAGCCCATTTGAGCAATTTGTCATTCTCTCACTGATTCTTATGAATATAGGTAACTTTTTGGTATACTGAGGACTAACTTGATACTTTTGGTTGATCAAATTGATGACCCAAATATTTTTTTTTTACAAATATATATATACCTAATTTCAATTCTCGAATCTTGCTTTCAAAACTCTGTTTCGAAATCTCTCTGCCTCGTTTTCTAAAACTTTCTTCTTGAATCGGGGCCAGAGGCTCGAGCATACGTCGCTTAGTAAGAATAAATAAACTTAACTCACTTGTTGCTGGAAAGTAAGTGTCGCACAATCGTAAGTCCGCTGCCATTTTAAGTGCAATTGTGACAATTAGGTTTCAAAATAACCAATAAATATATATAGTAAGCAAAAATACATTTTAAAAAAATAATAATAAATTCAAATTTGTTTGGTCCCAATGAGTAGAATAATCTATAATGGTGAAATATTTTATATTTTAATTAAATAAATAAAGTAATGTTTCTTTTAGAATTTATAAATTATTTAAAATGTTGGTAAATTAAATATCAAAATAGACAGCTGGAGTCATTATTATATTATATTGTATATTATTAAAGGAGAGTTTGAAATTAAATGACTAATAATGGTGGAAAATAAATTAAAGTTTAAATATTATTTCATTTTTAACAAATTAATACTCTTATTAGTTAAGTATCTATTAAAGAAAAAAAAAAGAATTAAAGGCATTTTTTTATTCTTGAAAATAAAATTAGATTTATTTTTAATTTCAATATATATATTTTTACTTTTAATACAATTATATATACCTATATTTATTTTACTTTTAATTTAATTATATAATTACTTTTTATTATTTATTTTCTAGTTAATAATTTTTCAAAATATATATTAAAATTGAGTTAGCAAAGGTTAATTAAATATTTGAAAATAAATAAATAGATATTTTACGAATTAATATTTTATTTTTATTAGAAATAAAAATTTAAATAAATGATTGAATAAAGCAATATATATTTCTTCAAATTTTTAGTTTTTTTTTTATTTTTTATTTAGAAGATAATTTATGAGTAGATAAACAATTTTAGTCTATAAGTTTTTAAAAATATTTTTATTAATTTAAACATGTGAATCACGTATTATGATTTACCTAAGTACAGTTGAGGATTGTTGGGGGAGTCTCACGTTCGCTAATTTAGTGAATGATCATGAGTTTATAAGAGAATACATCTTCATCGGTATGAGGTCTTTTGAAAAGTCAAAGAAAAGTAATGAGAGCTTATGTTCAAAATAGACAATATCATATCAGTGCGAAGAATCTAATTTTTAAAACTATAAGGATTGAATTTTAACATTTTTTAAATTGTAAATGTACACGTATGCATGTTGTATGTCACAAACACAAGATATTCCCTCAACATATTTGTATGGACGTATACACCATGGTACAATACGTGCTCGTTTCTTTCTATTAGTTTTTTATAGTGTGAGTGTACAATATGCACGTGCATAAGTTGTGCATAGAGACATTGTGAATGTTTGATTAATCCACCACTCCTAAATGGTGTGAGAGTTATCTTATTTATAATCAAATGAATTACAAGGATATGAAAATAGTAATAAATGAAAATAACAATAAATGGAAAGATACCTATGATAATAAGGCAAATATCTAATATTTGCCTTATAATAAAATATCAAATATAATATATATGGTAAACTATAATTTATTACTAAATATCCTTAACACCCCACCGCAAGCTAAGCGTCGGATTTAAACGAACGTGAAGCTTGAATCTGAAAAATTCAAAGAGGTTGAGAAACACTTTTCTTGAAGAAGTCAACAACCTGGTTCAGAGGAGGCGTAGAGAAACACTTTCTTGGCCATCGAAAATTGCAGAGGAATCGCCGCTCAGCGGCAATGCTTCCTTGGCTTCGGCGAGAATATGTCTAACCCATGAAGAGGGATTGTCGCTTAGCGACGATGCTGCCTTGGCTCTGGTGAGAATATTTCTAACCCCAAGAAGTAGAAGGGGAAACCTAGAGCAAGGGACAAAGACAATGTTGAAGCCGGAAGAGTCGCCACATTGGGCGAAGGAGCCAATTTTGACGAGAAGGGCAGTCGGAAGAGTCGCCTCATCGGGCGAAGAAGCCAATTTTGGCAGGAAGGGCGGCGGCAACTTGGTTGGCGAATAGGCCAGTGCGGCACCCAGATTCCGAAGGTAAATCTCTGTAAAATGTTGATAGGTTTAGGTTAGGGTTTATGTGAAGGATGAAGGTTGATTGGGAAGAAAATGAGAGAGACTATATTGGCCAAGGGGAAAACCGATTGGGTTGGAAAAAGTAAGGTTGTATGTATAGAGTATGACGAAAGGTGATTTGGAGGTCAATAGGGTGGAGCCAGAGTAATCAATCGGCTCCGCCTGCGGCAGCAATGAAGACTGCCCCTGCGGTGTCAAAGCCAACAGGGGTGGTGGAGAAGAAGATTAGAGGATTCAAAAGCCATTGAAAAGGATCGGGGTTGTTAAACCGAGAGGGCTCTGATACCATGTGAATGTTTGATTAATCCACCACTTCTAAATGGTGTGAGAGTTATCTTATTTATAATCAAATGAATTACAAGGATATGAAAATAGTAATAAATGGAAAGATACCTATAATAATAAGGCAAATATCTAATATTTGTCTTATAATAAAATATCAAATATAATATATATGGTAAACTATAATTTATTACTAAATATCCTTAACAGACATAGAGAAATAGTATGCATCCAACCTTACCGTACAAACAAAATCACGATAAAAGTCGTAGTCCTTATGCCAGGACAAGCCAATAATATCGGTTTCAGAAAAGTTAATTTTTTTCAATTTTCAAGTATATTATTTTATGGTGATGTTTATTACGTTTGAAATAAATTTATTTAAATAGGTTTAAAATAGACTGTTTTTAAATGATTTTTCGCAGGTAGTGACGACTTATTTAAATATATATATATATATATATATATATATATATATATATATATATATATATATATATAT